TTTCTTGTTGGATGATGGGGCGGGGGTCAGGGGGTGCTGAAGGCCAAGCTACCTTCTACTCCTCCCTCGGCAGAGGGGTGGGCAGGCTGTGCTGGAGAATGTGTCAGAGGATGGCGAGGGGCTTTCTGGCTGCTTGGGGAGACACCAGAACCCAGGTGAGAGGCGGGGTGGGCTGGGGGGCGGCCCGGGAGGAGGGGGGCGCTCAGCCTTGGTTCTGGACTCCAGATGCGGGGAGTGCCCTCCTCCCTCCGCCCTCAGCACACCGAGGACCAGGCAGGGGAGGGGGGACGGGCCTCCCACGCTGGCGTGTCAGCAGCAGGAGGGTGACCCTGGGGCAGACTGGCAGGGCTGGGGGGCTCAAAGCAGGCCCCACAGTAGGGCAGAGAGGAAGGGAGTCAGCGGTCAGCACAGCACTTGAGCCCCCCGCCTGGGGGAGGACACGCGGCCTGCCTTACCCGAGCGCTCACCAGGCCATGCGCTGGAAGCTGGCTGGTTCCTGTTCCGTCACGCCATCCAGAGAGGTGACCCCAAACTTCAAGCCCACGTTATCGACAAGTTCCTATTGTTGCCTTTCCGCTCTGGATAGGATCCCGACGATGGAAGTCTCATCTACTTCCAGGGTGCTGATGGCCTATGCCCCACCCAGGTGGGAATGTACCCAGGGCTACATGGTACTAGCCTGTCGAAGGCTTTCTGCCCAGGGAGGTGCGTGTTGTCATCACCCATTTCAGAGAGGGGGACCCGGGGCTCAGAGGAGTGAACCTGCCTGGTGTGACCCCAGTGGGAAGCTCGACTCCTTTGCCGGTGGCCCTCAAGCTCACATGCACAGGGAGGCCGTGAGGGAGCGCAGGCCATGCCCACGCGGAGACACATGGCCCTTCATCTTGGAAAGGCTCTCTGAGTGACCCTAAGGCATCAGCAGTGGGAGCGGCCGGGGTTTCGATTCCAGGGCTCAAGGGGCACCCACCCCAGCCCTGCCCTTTGGGAGGGGCTACTTGGGCTACATCTGGCTCAGGAAGCTAGTCGCGATCTGATGGGCGGTTAAGGCCCCCAGAGACGTTCATCCCGTGGTTAAGCTCCAAGAGCTTGGGCCAGATGGAGTCTGAGCCAGGGCCCGAAAGATGGGGGTGACTCTCCTGCTGAGAGGGGTGGTGGAGTGGGGTCCAGGGCTCTCAGATGCCTGCCTTCGCTCTGCTCTCAGCTGGAGTGGGCCATGAAGCTCTGGTGGCCGCACAGCGAAGCCATGATCGCCTTCCTCATGGGCTACAGTGAGAGCGGGGACTCCGCCTTGCTGAACATCTTCTACCAGGTGGCCGAGTACACTTTCTGCCAGGTAAGTGCTGCTTCCTGGTCTCAGCGGTGTGGAGGAGACCGCAGTCACGGCACACCCCCTCCTTCCCCCCTTCGCCGGACGTGTTCCCTCAGTAGGTCTGAGAGTTCCTGGAAGTCCCGGCCCTGGCACTCTCTGTTCAGTCAAGAGAGTGGCCCCTGCCCCACTGGAGCTCACATTTGGTGCTGATGGGACCGACCATAAACAAATAAACCAGCAAACATAGATGGTGATGAGAGCTCTGGGAAATAAAGCAAGGTCAGGGGACTGGGGGGCTAGTGGGAAGGAAAAAAGCTGGGGCTTCAGGAGGGGAGGCCAGAGGGCACTAGGCGAAGGCAGGGAGACCGGGCTGTGGCTGTCATCCTGGCTAGTGAGTGGGGGCCTGGCCCGGGGTGGGAGCTGCAGCGGCTCAGGGGTCAGAGTGTGGTCGAGCGGGAGAGGTGTGGGCTGGCCACGTGAGGCAAGGTAACCTTGGAGTACAGAAGGAAAGGAGAAGAGGGAATAGGCAGGCCCATCAAAGGAGAGAGAATCATCTGCGAGGTAGGAAGGAAGCCAGCCCCCCCGCCCCCCCCGCAGAGGCCCGAGTGCTGTGAGCAGAGCGATGAGCTGTGCCAGCTGCTGCTGACGGGCACCTCGGGTGCTGAGCCTGACGGGGAATGAAGGAAGATTTCCGATGTGTTTCTAAAGCCACGACTCACTCCATTAGTAAACCCCAGTACGGGAGGCATTACAACAGGGGGGTCTTATTCTGAGGTCTGTGGGCTTTGAAACCTGAGAGAAAATTCCACCTTTATTTGCACTAACCTCTAACTGAAATCCAGCATTCACGTCCATCATGAATGAAAGCAGTGAACCACAGTATTAGCAGTGTCCGACTTTGTCACCAGTAGAAATTCCAAATGTGTTCGTGTTATGCTGTGGTTAGAGAGGCATTTCCAAGTACTGCACACGCTCGTCACTGCTTCCAAACACGGGAGCCACAAGACCAGAGGCGATATATGTTAATATTGAATGCATTCATAGAGAACATGTGTTCGAGGTGATCGCTCTTAACTGCATAAAGTGAAATTTAAGGAATATATTTTCAAGAAAGAGAGATCGTATCGAACAATCACAAAAGTTATAAACAACAGGTAATTCACTATGCACTAATCATCATAACAATACAGAAAGCAAAAATTCAGACATCCATGGAAAGGCTGGACAGGAAAACAGTCAAATCCTTTTGTTATCTTCCCGTGTCATATCCAGTAGTCGAATAATAAGTAAGGACATGGGTAATGTCACTGGAAACATAGAATGAACAGATACAGAACTAGTTTTTCCCCCTATGAAGAATACACCTATTCATAGGTCCCCATTTAAAAAGACATTTTTGGTAGTGGACTTCAAAGTCACTGATTTATTCTATGGTCCTTCTGAGAAGGGGTTCCACTCAGGTCTCTATCTGGGGAGGAAGGGCCTAGGCCAGGGCTCTGAGGTCTATCCTGGAGCATCTGGAAGGAACTGGGCAGGAGAGAAGCGAGGAATTTGGAAAGGGTCAACAGAGCTGCTGGGCAGGGGCAGGCTTCAGGTGGCCCCGAGGGAGGGGGAGATGTGTTTGGGACCTGTGGTGAGTAAGGGAGAAGTCAGACCTCTGTACGGGATATCTACAATGTAGCGTCTACAATGTAGCGCTATCTACAATCTCATCCACTGCAAGACAGTCCTCTGAAGCAGGGAACAGGAGCTCCAAAGGAATAACTTGTTACAAAGTTACATGGTAGGTCAGCACTTCCTCAGGGTTCCGTTTCTTTTTACATAGTTTTTTAAAAAATTATATTTATTTACTTTTGGCTGCGCTGGGTCTTTGTTGCTGCGCGCGGACTTCTCACTGCGGTCGGTAGCTACTTTTGTTGCGGAGCACCGGCTCTAGGCGCGCGGGCTTCGGTATTTGTGGCGCACGGGCTCTAGAGCGCAAGCTCAGTAGTCCCAAGCAGGGTTTTTGTTTTTGTTTTTGTTTTAAATTCCATCTTGCAAGGTTTCATCTCACAGCCTGCGGCCCCTTCCCCAAGTGGGGTAACTAGCTGCAGACTCAAAACTCCACCCCCCCCGAAGAAAAAGGAAAAGACCCTTGCTTTCATATTTGTCCAGGAGGCGGGACCTCATTTAAAAGCACTGATTCTGGAGCCGGGCCCCGAGGTAGCGGTTTAGTGGGAACGGTGAACGCCCCTTTCCCAGGCCTGTGGCATCTGGGCGGTTCCTGCAGGCGCTGCCTGTCACTGCCTCACTGTTATTGCAGTTTCGCGATCCCGAGTACGGGGAATGGTTTGCCTACCTGAACCGAGAAGGGAAGATCGCCCTCACCATCAAGGGGGGGTCCTTTCAAAGGTGAGTGGGGGAAAGGGCGGGGCCCAGGGGCTCGGGGCACTCGGCTGCCCACGGCCCTCCAAACCCGCCTTCCCGCCTCTCCCCGCAGGCTGCTTCCACGTGCCGCGGTGCCTCGCCATGTGCGAGGAGATGCTGAGTGACCTGCTGAGCCGCCTCGCCCCGGCCTCGGCCCCGGCCCCGGCCCTGGCCCTCAGCGCCCGGTCTCCGCCCGCCGACCCCGCCCGCCGAGGCGCAGAATAAAGCCAAGCCTGCTCCACTGCCCTTGTGTGTGAGCGTCTGTGGGGTGTCGGGTGGGGGACCACCCACCGCCTTTGGCTGGAGAGCACCTGCCCGCCCTGCCGGTGACCCGCCCCGCGCGCTGGACCGTCCCACCCTGCCAACAGGCCCGCCCCGCGCCGGGGTCCGCCCGGCCATTGGCCCGGCCCGCCCCGCGGAGAGGCCCCACCCCGCCCTTGGCCCTCCCTGCGCATGGCCGAGCGGCCGGGAGGGCGGGCCCGGCGTGCGGGCTCGGCGGCGCGCACTTCCGGCCGGTGGTCGGTTCCAGCGGACGCGTCATCTTCTGGCGCCGTCCCCGCGATCCCGGACTCAGCCACAGCCCCAGCCACAGCCCTGGCCTGGCAGCCCCGGCGTCTCTTCGGAGCGCGGTGGCAGCTGACTGCGTGTTCACGACCCGCTGGGAGCCGCGAGTCCCGCCGCCGTTATGAACATCCGCAATGCGAGGGTGAGGGGCTGGGGCCGGAGGCTGTCCGCGCCGCGTGGGAGCGGGGCCCGGTGGCCGCGTGCACGTGCTCCTGAGGGGCCCGGCCGATCACCGGGCCAGCCGCCCTGGGCGCCCTCGGCCGCCCGGCGCGGAAAAGTGAAGGCCACGTCCCCGTGGGGCTGGATCTACCCGAAGAGGAGGCCGGGGGAGCCAGGGGGGCAGGGCCGGGGCTGCGAACTCTTTCTTTCCAATGTCGGGTTTCCGTTGGATGGTGTCGGGGAGCTTCCTGGAGCTCAACATTCATTCCTGGAACAGTCAGTTTTTGCACAGCGGCTGTGGGCCAGGCCTGTGCGGAGACAGTCCCAGCGCCCGCCCAGCCCTGTGGGGGGGCGGGGGTCGCTGAGTAGACAGAGCAGGGTTCTAACACGACCGAGGCCTACTTAGTCACCGCAGCCCCCGGCCTGACTGCATTCCACTGCCCTCCTCTCCCGCAGCCAGAGGACCTGATGAACATGCAGCACTGCAACCTCCTGTGCCTGCCCGAGAACTACCAGATGAAATATTATTTCTCCCATGGCCTTTCCTGGCCCCAGGTGGGCAGCTGTTGAATTTGGGGATGAGGGAAACCAGGCCAAGGAAATTCCACCCTGGGTCGGCTTGGGACGAGCCGGCGAGGTCGTGAAGAGTCCGGGGGGCGCATGGGTCAATGAGGCCCTGAGTGTTTCCGGCTGGGGTGGCGGGAGATGGATAGGAGGCGCCTTGAAGAGGGGCGAAGAACAGGGCCAAGGTAGGGGCAGTATTCCCACCTGTGTCTGTCCACTTCTTCTGGGTTAAGGAAAGGGGGCACGGTGTGATGTGGGAAAACCAAGCCACTTGGCCTGGAGGTCAGGAGCTGTCACTGAACTCGCTGCCCGATGGGCTTCTGTCTGTCATGCACACAGCGACAGGCAGGCGCTGGGGCCAGGTGTCCGATAAGGGCGCCTCCAGCTCTGACAGGAACTTGTTTTCTGCCTTCTCTTTCCTCCCTGTCACCCAGCTCTCTTACGTCGCTGAGGATGAGAATGGGAAGATTGTGGGGTATGTCCTGGCCAAAATGTGAGTCACCAAGGACGGAGGGACAAGCCTGGTGCCTGACCTGGGGGTGGGGGGAGGAGGGACACCGACACCGCACGCGTCTGATGGATGCTGCCTGGGTTGGGTTGGGTTTGGTTTTTTTGTTTCGTTTTGTTAATTAATAGACTGTTCCTTTGGTTCATTTTCCTCTCACATTAACATCTTGTGGCGCATCTGTTAAAATGGGTGAACCGATACTGTTACATTACTGCAGAAACCCATAGTTACATTGTTTTACTCTTTGAGTTCTACGTTCCATGGACAAAGGTATAACAATGTATCCGATACTATAGTATCAACCAGAGTAGTTTCACTGCCCTCCCTCCCTCCCTCCCCTCTCCCCGGGAACCACTGATCTCTTTACTGTCTCCATAGTTTCGCCTTCTCCAGAAGGTCATATGATTAGAATCATACAGTGTGTAAACATTTCAGACCACCTTTCACTTAGTCATATGCATTGAAGTCTCCCCCCACGTCTTTTCATGGCTTGAGAGCTCCTTTCTTTTTAGCACTGAACAGTATTCCATTGACACTGCACATGTCTTTTGGCTGCTGCCTGGGGTTTGGAGAGTCCTGGCTCTCCCCCGTCCCGGGACTGGATGCACTTTGGGGTTCACGCCTAGCCCCTCTCCTTTCTTCTTGCTCTAGGGAAGAGGGCCCGCACAATGTGCGCCATGGACACATCACCTCGCTGGTGCGTAGGGCCCACCCAGGCTCTGGTGGGGGCGGGGGCGGAAGTTAGTTGGAGCCGCCCCGAGGTCCCACCTTTCTCCCACCAGGCTGTGAAGCGTTCCCACCGGCGCCTTGGCCTGGCTCAGAAGCTGGTGGACCAGGCCTGCGGAGCCATGATCGAGAACTTCAATGCCAAATACGTCTCCCTGCATGTCAGGAAGAGGTGGAAGCCAGGGCCGAGGGAAGGGGGGTGGGTAGGGGGATACTGTCTGTTTTGTTGGGTATTTTTTGAATTTTCTTTTATTTATTTTTATACAGCAGGTTCTTATCAGTTATCTATTTTATACATATTTGTGTATATATGTCAATCCCAATCTCCCAATTCATCCCACCACCACCAGCGGGGATACTGCCTCGATGTGGATCTTGGGCTGCCTTGGCTTTTGGAGAAGATCGGGAAGTGGGCTTAGTGGGGAGGGGGACCGGGAGGAGGGGCAAGACCTGGATGTGCTGTCCCTGCCTGGCCTCGTCTGTACAGCTCAGCAGTGCCTTATTCCCCTGCAGTAACCGGGCCGCTCTGCGCCTCTATTCCAACACCCTCAACTTTCAGTAAGTAGATCTACATTTTTCTCATGGAGTGGGATGGTCCCCAGGTCTGGCTTATCCAGGTGGCTGAGATAGGCTGAACTACCTTCCAGGCAGGGGCGTGAGGGCGGCTAGGGCTAGCTGAGATGGGGGAGCGGGCTGTGGACAGCACTCTTGGGGGCAGAGCACCTGCCTGCTGCAGGCTGCTTGAGGCATGTCACGCTTCTGGAGGACGCTTGGTGTTTCTTGCTTGATGCTGGTGGCGGCTATGCTGGAAGGGCAGCACGGTGAAGAGGTTCGGAAGCAGAGACAAGGGCCCAGGACAGGAACAGAAGCCAAGGAGCAGAACTGAGTCACCAGGCACCCAGAAGCATCTAAGTGGGACCAGAAGAAAGGATAGATCTGAGCACGTCCGCACAGGAAGGGCCAGTGGCAAGAGCAGTGGAGGGATCTAGAGCCCTGGGTGTCCTAGTGGATGAGGCTGGGTCCACTCAGGGATGTGGCAGTCTCTGTGTGCCCAGCGCAGGACAGAGAGAGCCTAGCAGGGAACTGCTCTGCCCAGTACATTGTGGTGAAAGCTGCTGGAAAGTGAGGCTGAGGTGGGCTGTCCATGGAGGGCCCACTGAGACAGCGTCAGCTTCAGCTTGGTGGGGGACGAGGAGGGACTGTTGGGAAGGGAAGTGGCCTCTGGGCTGGGTATTTGAGGCAGGATCTTTGGCCTGGATGCAAATGCCTCTGGTGGTTGACAGTTCTAGGGTCTTAAGGCTGGCAGGGCCGTTCTGGGCCATCCAGACTGGCTCCCTTTTCAGTGGCAGGGTGCCCAGGTCTGCATACACACCTCCCAGCACAGGCTTGGCCCCTGAGCTGCTCGGGCTAGGGGCCATGCTGCCTGGTAACGACCACCAAGAACAGAAGCCCAGGCAGCAGCACCCCTCCCCGGTTCCAGTTGTTAGGTATACGAGCCAGCCATGCATGCCCAGGAAGTGACAGGGAGCAGGGCGGGGAGGGGAGGGGAGGGGACTGCCAAATTCAGGGCTTCAGTTCACAGGAAACCACAGACACAGATCCTTGGTGGCCAGGTTAGGGATGAGGGGCAGTGGCAGGATGCCAGGGCTGGGGGGCAATAAAGGAGCTAGGTGCTACTTACTGTTGGAGAAAGCAGAGGGAAGACCATGTTGGAAATGTCTCCCAAAGGGTCCTTGGGGGGGGCAGTGACACCCTGCCCCACTAGCAGATGATGCCAGAAGGCTGAGAAGAATTGCCCCCGATTTGGGTTGCCCTCCTTCTCTCCACCTGCTGCCCCCAGGATCAGCAAAGTGGAGCCCAAATACTATACAGATGGAGAAGACGCATACACGATGAAGCGGGACCTCACCCAGATGGCCGATGAGGTAAGAGTCCTGCAGGTAAGAGTCCTGCGGGGCCAGGGCTGCGGTCCCCAGGCAAGGCGAGCAGGGGTGGCCTGGGACAGTTGGAGGCTGCGTCGCCAGGAGTCCTGGCCCTCCTCACCTTAGCTTCTGTAGCTGGCAGGCGGGGAGCCAGACCTTGGCAGGACCTTAACGAAGGCCATCGGCCCAAGATTCCATTCTCCGAGGAAGAAGCCCGTCCTGCCCAGAGGCTGCTGTGAGAGGAGAGGGAGGAGGTCCCTAGACGTGGCTGGCCTCCAAGGCTCGGGGTCAGACAGAACCGGGCTGAAGAGAAGTCAGGGTTCTGCCCAAGGCTCCTCGGGGGCTAGGGCCGTTCAGAGGGCTCCACGGCAGCCTCGTGAGGGAGCCATGATCACCTCCACTTTACAGGAGAGGAAACAGGCCCAGAGGCCTGTTTAGGTCTTCTGTCCATTTTTGGATTGGGTTGTTTGTTTTTTTGTTGTTGAGCTGCATGAGCTGCTTGTAAATTTTGGAGATGAATCCTTTGTCAGTTGCTTCATTTGCAAATATTTTCTCCCATTCTGAGGGTTGCCTTTTCGTCTTGTTTATGGTTTCCTTTGCTGTGCAAAAGCTTTGAATACATATTTGTGTATGTATGTCCCATTTGTTTATTTTTATTTCCCATTTGTTTATTTTTGTTTTTATTTGCATTACTCTAGAAGGTGGATCAAAAACGATCTTGCTGTGATTTATGTCAAGGAGTGTTTTTCCTATGTTTTCCTCTAAGAGTTTTATAGTGTATGGTCTTACCTTTAGGTCTTTAATCCATTTTGAGTTTATTTTTGTGTATGGTGTTAGGGAGTGTTCTAATTTCATTCTTTTACATGTAGCTGTCCAGTTTTCCCAGCACCACTTATTGAAGAGGCTGTCTTTTCCCCATTGTATATCCTTGCCTCCTTTGTCATAGATTAGTTGACCATAGATGCATGGGTTTACCTCTGGGCTTTCTATCGTGTTCCATTGATCTATATTTCTGTTTTTGTGCCAGTCCATATTGTCTTGATGACTGTAGCTTTGTAGTATAGTCTGAAGTCAGGGAATCTGATTCCTCCAGCTCCGTTTTTTTCCCTCAAGACTGCTTTGGCTATTTGGGGTCTTTTGTGTCTCCATACAAATTTTAAGATTTTTTGTTCTAGTTCTGTGAAAAATGCCATTGGTAATTTGATAGGGATTACATTGAATCTGTAGATTGCTTTGGGTAATATAGTCATTTTCACAATGTTGATTCTTCCAATCCAAGAACATGGTGTATCTCTCCATCTGTTGGTATCATCTTTAATTTCTTTCATCAGTGTCTTATAGTTTTCTGCATACAGGTCTTTTGTCTCCATAGGTAGGTTTATTCCTAGGTATTTTATTCTTTTTGTTGCAGTGGTAAATGGGAGTGTTTCCTTAATTTCTCTTTCAGATTTTTCATCATTAGTGTATAGGAATGCAAGAGATTTCTGTGCATTAATTCTGTATCCTGCAACTTTACCAAATTCATTGATTAGCTCTAGTAGTTTTCTGGTGGCATGTTTAGGGTACTCTATATATAGTAGCATGTCATCTGCAAACAGTGACAGTTTTACTTGTTCTTTTCCAATTGTATTGCTTTTATTTCTTTTTCTTCTCTGATTGCCATGGCTAGGACTTCCAAAACTATTTTGAATAATAGTGGTGAGAGTGGACATCCTTGTCTTGTTCCTAATCTTAGAGGAAATGCTTTCAGTTTTTCACCATTGAGAATGATGTTTGCTGTGGGTTTGTCATATATGACCTTTATTATGTTGAGGTAGGTTCCCTCTATGCCCACTTTCTGGAGAGTTTTTATCATAAATGGGTGTTGAATTTTGTCAAAAGCTTTTTCTGCATCTATTGAGATGATCATATGGTTTTTGTTCTTCAATTTGTTAATATGGTGTATCACATTGATTGATTTGTGTATATTGAAGAATCCTTGCATCTGTGGGATTAATCCCACTTGATCATGCTGTATGATCCTTTTAATGTGCTGTTGGATTCTGTTTGCTAGTATTTTGTTGAGGATTTTTACATCTATATTCATGAGTGATATTGGTCTGTAATTTTCTTTTATTGTAGTATCTTTGTCTGGTCTTGGTATCAGGGTGATGGTGGCCTCATAGAATGATTTGGGAGTGTTCCCTCCTCTGCAATTTTTTGGAAGAGTTTGAGAAGGATGGGTGTTAGCTGTTCTCTAAATGTTTGATAGGATTCATCTGTGAAGTCATCTGGTCCTGGGCTTTTGTTTGTTGGAAGATTTTTAACCACAGCTTCAATTTCATTTCTTGTGATTGGTCTGTTCATATTTTCTGTTTCTTCCTGGTTCAGTCTTAGAAGGTTATACCTTTCTAAGAATTTGTCCATTTCTTCCAGGTTGTCCATTTTATTGGCATAGAGTTGCTTGTAGTAGTCTCTTAGGAGGCTTTGTATTTCTGCAGTGTCTGTTGTATCCTCCTTTTTCATTTCTAATTTTATTGATTTGAGTCCTCTTCCTCTTTTTCTTGATGAGTTCGGTTAATGGTTTATCAATTTTGTTTATCTTCTCAAAGAACCAGCTTTTAGTTTTATTGATCTTTGCTATTGTTTTCTTTGTTTCTATTTCATTTATTTCTGCTCTGATCTTTATGATTTCTTTCCTTCTGCTAATTTTGGGTTTTGTTTGTTCTTCTTTCTCTAGTTCCTTTAGGTGTAACATTAGATTGTTGATTTGAGATTTTTCTTGTTTCTTGCGGTAGGCTTGTATAAATAAAAACTTCCCTCTTAGAACTGCTTTTGCTGCATCTGATAGGTTTTGGATCGTCGTGTTTTCATTGTCATTTGTCTCTAGGTATTTTCTGATTTCCTCTTTGATTTATTCAGTGATCTCTTGGTTATTTAGTAACGTATTGTTTAGCTTCCATGTGTTTGTGTTTTTTACATTTTTTTCCCTGTAATTGATTTCTAATCTCATAGCGCTGTGGTCAGAAAAGATGCGTGATATGATTTCAATTTTCTTAAATTTACTGAGGCTAGATCTGTGACCCAGTATGTGATGTATCCTGGGGAATGTTATGTGCGCACTTGAGAAGAAAGTGTAATCTGCTGTTTTTGGATGGAATGTCCTATATATATCAATTAAATCTATCTGGTCTATTGTGTCATTTAAAGCTTGTGTTTCCTTATTAATTTTCTGTTTGGATGATCTGTCCAGTGGTGTAAGTGAGGTGTTAAAGTCTCCCACTATTATTGTGTTACTGTCGATTTCCTCTTTTATAGCTGTTAGCAGTTGCCTTATGTATTGAGGTGCTCCTATGTTGGGGGCATATATATTTATAATTGTTATGCTATTTCTTCTTCTTGGATCGATCCCTTGATCATTATGTAGTGTCCTTCCTTGTCTCTTGTAACATTCTCTATTTTAAAGTCTATTTTATCTGATATGAGAATTGCTACTCCAGCTTTCTTTTGATTTCTATTTGCATGGAATATCTTTTTTCATCCCCTCACTTTCAGTCTGTATGTGTCCTTAGGTCTGAAGTGGGTCTCTTGTGGACAGCATATATATGGGTCTTGTTTTTATATCCATTCAGCAAGCCTGTGTCTTTTGGTTGGAGCATTTAATCCATTCACATGTAAGGTAATTATCGATATGTATGTTCCTTTTACCATTTTCTTAATTGTTATGGTTTTGTTTTTGTAGGTCCTTTTATTGTGTTTCCTACTTAAAGAAGTTCCTTTAGCATTTGTTGTAGAGCTGATTTGGTGGTGCTGAATTCTCTTAGCTTTTGCTTGTCTGTAAAGCTTTTGATTTCTCCGTCGAATCTGAATGAGATCCTTGCTGGGTAGAGTAATCTTGGTTTTAGGTTCTTCCCTTTCATCACTTTAAATATGTCATGCCATTCACTTCTGGCTTGTAGTGTTTCTGCTGAGAAATCAACTGTTAACCTTATGGGAGTTCCCGTGTATGTTATTTGTCATTTTTCCCTTGCTGCTTTCAATAATTTTTCTTTGTCTTCAATTTTTGCCAATTTGATTGCTATGTGTCTTGGCGTGTTTCTCCTTGGGTTTATCCTGTATGGGACTCTCTGTGCTTCCTGGACTTGGGTGGCTATTTCCTTTCCCATGTTAGGGAAGTTTTCGACTATAGTCTCTTCAAATATTTTCTCGGGTCCTTTCTCTCTCTCTTCTCCTTCTGGGACCCGTATAATGTGAATGTTGTTGCATTTAATGTTGTCCCAGAGGTCTCTTAGGCTGTCTTCATTTCTTTTAATTTCTTTTTCTTTATTGTGTTCCGCAGCAGTGAATTCCACCATTCTGTCTTCCAGGTCACTTATCCATTCTTCTGCCTCAGTTATTGTGCTATTGATTCCTTCTAGTGTAGTTTTCATTTCAGTTATTGTATTGTTCATCTCTGTTTGTTCTCTAATTCTTCTAGGTGTTTGTTCTTTAATTCTTCTAAGTCTTTGTTAAACATTTCTTGCATCTTCTCAATCTTTGCCTCCATTGTTTTTCCGAGGTCCTGGATCATCTTGATCATCATTATTCTGAATTCTTTTTCTGGAAAGTTGCCTATCTCCACTTCATTTAGTTGTTTTTCTGCGGTTTTATCTTGTTCCTTCATCTGGTGCATAGCCCTGTGCCTTTTCATCTTGTCTACCTTTCTGTGAATGTGGTTTTTGTTCCACAGGCTGCAGGATTGTAGTTCTTCTTGCTTCTGCTGTTTGCCCTCTGGTGGATTAGGCTATCTAAGAGGCTTGTGCAAATTTCCTGATGGGAGGGACTTGTCTAGTCCATCTTTAAATATTAGAGTTTTTTCAGTCTCATTGCTAGAGCCTCTTGTTTATTCATTCTTTCCTCATCCTTTAGGTAATCTCACCCATTCCCAGGGGGTCCTCTACAATACTATCTCTATAGCCTCAGGCTGGGGATTTTTTGTTTTGTTTTGTTTTGTTTTTTGCTGCACCTGCGGCTTGCAGAATCTTAGCTTCGTAACAGGGGATTGAATCTGGACCCCCTGAAGTGGAAGCGTGGAGTCCTATCCACTGGATCGCCAGGGAATTCCCAGCCCCAGCGTTTATATATCTGTGCCAGATCCCTCCCTTGGGCTCCTCAACCTGCATATCCAGCTTCCTGTCTGACGTCACTACTCGGCTGCCCCCAATTCATTAATTCATTCCCTTGCCAAATATCCACTGGGTACCTACTCTGTGTCGGTCACTATGGTAGGGACTGGTGTACAATGCTGAATAAAATGATCTGGTCCCTGCCCTCATGAAGTTTACATTTAGTGGTGGGGGTGTGAGAAAATAAGCAAGAAAACAAACAAAAAATAGTGAAATCCACTACTTTTTTTGAATTTTATTTTATTTTATTTTTTAAACAGCAGGTTCCTATTAGTTACCTATTTTGTACATCTTAGTGTATATATGTCAATCCCAATCTCCCAGTTCATCCTACCACCACTCCCCACCA